TCTAATGCTGAGTCTGTGTTCCCCTGGTGGCTCTGTTGATGAGCCACACAATTGCTGAAGGGAAACTGCAAGCTCTTTTCTGTTAAAGGGCCCCAGCTAAGCCCCTCACCCAGTTTCCTGAAGGTAAAGGACTATTATGCATCTTTGATCTACACTCCTTAGTCCAGTGTTTATCTTTCCACATCTCTTACAAATTCCAGGGGAATGAGGCTTTCAATACAATCATCCTCTGAAGAGGTATCCTTTTTAGTAACAGAACGGTAACAGGCTTTCCTTAAATGTCCCAGTATCCCACAGTTGAAACATCTTGTGTTCGGGATTTAAGGCCATTACCTATAGCTTATCCAACTATATCAGCATCATATTCTGCAGAGTCAGTATCAGCAGTAGGCTTTAACCCACTCCTCCGAAGGAGCTCCTTGAGCCTTCAGGGCCTTATGGCCTTTGGCATTCTGTGGTAGCATTCTTAAAAGCCAAAGATTCAGATAAAACCTTTCTAACATCTGGATCAGCTGCTGTTCTATGCACTGCTGAAGTGAATCTTTGTTAAAAGGCAGTGTAGATGTCTCCTGCACTTTGCCCGGCTTTTGATCTTTTCCCTGGCTCCTCCACCTTATCCCGTGCCCTTAAAGCCACTAGGTGACGCTGCACTCACTACAGGGGCATCCAACTGCGTTTGTCTTTCGAGATTAGCATACTGTCCCTCTCCTGGTAATTGGTCCTTTACTCTCTTTACTCCTCTAGGGTGACTGCCCTGTTACAGCTGCTGCTTCCTCTCTCCACCAAGTAAGCCAACTGAGGATTAGCCTCTAGTATAGCTGCCAAGAGATCCTTCCAATCTTGAGGAATAACTCTATTCTGATTAGCCCAGTGGTTTACAACCTGTCTTACACAGGGAGAATGCATTCCATAAGCTACTCCTGCTTCTTTTAATCCGTTCAGACCTTTAAGTCTGTAGGTCTCCAATCAACCTGAACACACCCTTGAGGCTGCTGATCATTTGCATAATACCTGGGAACACCTGTGGAGGTGTCCTTATGACCCTAGGCAACCTTTCCTCAAATCCCTCAAAAGGATTTCCTTTTCTTCTGTAGAGAAATTTTTCCTTTCAATTCTCTCTTCTACTGATTTTTCTACTGGGAAGATTTCCCTTGCATTTCCGTAGTTTTCCTTTTCTTTACTGGGAAGTTTCCTTTTTTGTCTTTTGTCTTGGGAGTTTTTGTGTTTTTAAACACGCAGTCTTCTCAACTGTTCTAATTCCTAAATCTGTTATTTCTAACGAAGGCAAAGGGAGAGTCATCTCCTGTGTCGTGGTTTTCCTCACTTTTACTGTCTTCTGAAACAGCTTTCTTATCAACCCGTGAAGGAACATTCTCCTCTGCTGGCTGACCGTTTCTAGCCTGAGTGTCTTCCCTTTTACTTTCCTGTTCTACTTCTGATGCAGCTTTAAGTGACTCCTTATTCTGCAACGGCTCCAGAGAGTTTGATATTAAATTACATAAAGTACAAAATTTTAATGGTGTGGGCTCTCCTTTTTGATGAGCTCTCTTCAAAGCTCACATAACTTGCTTCCATCCTTCAGTTTCAATTGACAGTGAGGAGTTGCATTGAAACCACTTGCAATGGCATTTGATTAACATCCAAAGCTCTGTAGCCGTTTTTCCTTCACTTTCACTTCATTTCCCCTTAACAGGTATTTTAATAGCTGCATAAACTGCCGCCCCTGAGATGGGAAGTTTCCCATGACCCTGCCAGTCCTGGGGTCCTCTGACCGTGAGAACATTCCTCCTAGCTCTCAAAGCCCCCAGCTTCTCTGTCCTTCAAGCAAGCCCCAGTTGGGCGACAAAATGACGCGAATATTTTTGGCGCAGGTCTGAGAAATGAAGGCTTCAGAGACACGTGAGAATGGGAAGCTCAGTCTCAGAAAACTGAAGCGCTTTCCCTTCGCCTCTCAGCATTTTTTCTTCCCCCTGTGTTTACATTTTAGCTAGTTGATTTCCATATCTCAAAACAAACTGCTAGAAACTTCTGACAATACAATGCCAGGTGCAAATACCTAATTCACGTGGTACCATGGTTTTCCGGGTTTCCTCTAAACCAAGTTTTGCATTGGCTTTGTATCCATAGGAAATGAAAAGTCTTTATGGCCCAACAAACCTCTCCGCCGACGCAATAATCCAAATCAGACCAAATCAAACAAAATTAGAAAAAGCCCAGGTTTAAGGGATTCCAACCTCCCCCCCCCCCCCCCCCCCCCACGTAACATTCATACAGGGCAGCGAGAGGTCTTTGTAACACAATGCAAGTCCTAGGGGCTGTGTGAAAATTCTGGGGCCAGTCCAGGTATAACCTAGGGGAGACTAAGGGCTACTGAAGATTTTGCTTGCTCTCCCTCTGGCCTGGTGCCCGAGGGAAATTATACCACATAATGTGAGTGTTTTCTATAGTGGAAGTCAGAAAACACTGCTGAATCAAGTTAAAGCACACTAATAAATGACATCTTGGGTTAATGGATTGGATGAAAAAATATTGGCACGGCCATACTAACAAAGCGATCTACAGATTCACAACAATCCCTAGCAAAACCTTAATACTATCTACTAGAACTGCATAGATTTGAAACATGCAAAACACTTGGAAAACTCACAAAGTTGGAGGACTTAGGTAGGCTTATGTGAAAATATAAACAACCTATAAAACAAGGCAACCTATAAAAACAAAATATGTACGATACTTACATAGAGAAAAATAAACCATAGAAAAGGATTACAGAACAATGAGTATTATCAAATGTTCACTTATACGGTCTCACGATTTTGACAAGGGTACCAAAAGCACACCGTGGGAGTGAGGGGGACAGTCTCTTGGGCCAGTGACGATGGGAGAACTGGATGAGCACGCAGGTTTGGGTGTTATTGTTCACCATGTACAGTGATGAAGTCAGAATGAATTAAGGGGCTAAAAGCCTACGATTGAAATTCCTGTAAGAAAAGGTAAGAAAGTACTAATGAGATTGTATTTTGCCCTGACTCGTTGGGTGTGTGGTGAAAAGCAGTGTGAAGAGAGTAAGTAGGTGACTGAGGCTCGGTGAACGTTGAAGGTGTTTTTCAGCGGTGAGAGTTGGGATTGACTGCAGAGCTGCGGTTTAGGCTTGAGGTTCTGTCGGGCGGTGCGGGAGCGTTTTCCGGGGAGGCCGGCAGGGGTGGATCGAGCGGGCATCGCCTCCAGGAGTTGTGAGGCTGCGGTTCCTTAGAGACAGCGGCGGGCAGGGAGTGTGAGGGTGACGTGGGGCGTCCAGAGGTTTGGATTAGGGGAAGGTTGGGTTTAAAACTACACCTAATATTTTGCCCTCCTTCTCCGAGGGCGGGGCCAGTGGCGTCATTGCAAATCCGCCTCAAGTAGCAATTTATCACGCCTGACTCCCTCCGGCTCTAGTGGCTCAGGCCGGTGAAGGAGGCAGAGGCAGGTGGATCTGGAGTTCGAGGACAGCCTGGTCTACACATTTTTTTTTTCCCGCCCGCCAAGAAAATAGCCACAGTACGTGATACACTAAAGTACCAACACCCACGAAGCCTCTCCGTACCCTCTTCTCACGCTGATGGCGCCGCTCGGCTACCGGCACCCAGACTGCTCCAGCTCCTGCAGACGCGCAGGCGCCCTTTCCACAGCGCTGCTAACAAGCCCTTGCCCAAGCACCCACTCTCACTGTGGATCCCGTGCTTGTCCACGCCCGCTCTCCGCACGCCTCTGCTTGGCATGCTCCCTTCCCTACAATCCGCCTCCTCGGCCATCCCTACCGTTAGGTTCATTTTCTCTAGTTCTGGCCGTCAAGAGTCTTCTTGACGTCAGCTTCAGGGCTCACTGTGTGGGGTCACAGGGCACATCCAACCAGAGATCCTCAGCCCGCAAGGCCTAAGATACACAGCTTTGCCCTCTCCTGTGTGCCCTATTCACTTCGCATGATGACCTCTTTTTATCTTCTTTGTGCCCAGTGCATTTTCTCCCTCCGGTCCCCAGCTCTGGCTGTTGACCCCACAGCCTCTCCCTATGCCCCTCTTCTCCTCCTACACCTCTCCTTTGATAATAACAACCGTCGATAGCTCACGCATACCCTCAAGTCATCAGGACACGCGCGTTCTCATCATCTTGCATCTACGAAGTTTCTTGTGCTGAGCTGTTCCTCACCGGCCCTTAGGGATTTCTCCCTTCCCAGACCCCTGTAGAAGCCTCAGGGGCCAGGACTTGGTGTCATGGCTGCCACTGTGCCCTGACAAAGGCCCCACTGTGTCAAGACTGACCTTTGGGAAGGAGCCCTGGGTTGTCTCCTAGTGTTCAGGTCTCCTTCTGACTTTGTTTATGTCTCAAGCGTGCAGCCATCAGGGCCCCAGCATCCTCTGTGCTTCTGCTGCCAGAGGGTAGGGATGAGGAGGGCAGTGGTTCCTGTGGCTCTGGAATTTCCAGGTCTTCCTAGGTGTGGATGGCGGTGGGAGGCCCTTGCTGCTGAAGAATGCCCGGTCCTGCCTATGCACTCACCGCCCAACTGCTTAGTTGAACCTAGCACACAGGATACACCACGAAAGACCTGATTAACAGTGCTCCCAAACAGCAGGAAGCATTTTGGACAAAACCACACCCATATTCCCAAATATTGTTTATAGGTGCTTCTTTACATTTAGGTGTGGGGATATGCTATGGAGATTTGCATTGGTATGGTTCTTGGTTTATTGATAAAAATATAAGGTCAATCTTGTTATACGTATATTTCTACTCTTGATTAAGGCATTGTGATTTTGCAGTCCATTTAAAAAATGTGATTTGTAATTAAGAAATACAGGTTAATATATAATCACCTATAGTAGTCAAGATTTTCTAGATGTACAGAGATGTATTTCAGATAGGTAGGCATTCTTCTAACCTTTCAAAGACTACAGAATATGGGATTTAAAATGTTTTAATGACTTAGAATTTTCATGACAATGATACACGTCTGTTCCTGGCAGCACAAGCTACTTCAAGAGGAACATGGGCATCGAAGACGCTCCTTATGGAGTTCGCTGGCCATTTGGGCAAGAAACTGCTCTTTCCTGGACTGCATAACTGGACATGCAGGACCCACAGAGAAATGACTGCTGAACTTGCCTAAGGGTGAGTTGATCCTTCAGGGTTCCTGCTTCATGAGTGTGTCTGCCGAGCATTCTGCACAACACAGAAGAAAATGACTGACAAACTGCTAATATAGGTGGAACAGTCTTTGAAATTTCCTGCTTCATGGAAAAGTCTGCTGGATACTGAGGGCCCATAGGCTGAAAAAGGATGGCCCAATAGTGCAGTAGAACTTTGGGTGACTGTCCAGATAACGAGATGTCTCTATCAATTCTTGCGTTTTTAGAAGTTGCTTACAATTCACTTCATATTTACTTATTTCATAAGACTTCTATAGCCGGGCGGTGGTGGCGCACGCCTTTAATCCCAGCACTCGGAGGCAGAGGCAGGCGGATCTCTGTGAGTTCGAGACCAGCCTGGTCTACAAGAGCTAGTTCCAGGACAGGCTCCAAAACCACAGAGAAACCCTGTCTCGTAAAACCAAAAAAAAAAAAAGACTTCTAGAGTCTTTGATAGAGTTGAAGAATAGGTAGAGATTGGTACAGTTTTCCTTGGTTATGATTAAAAAGTAGTTGGAATATTTATATCTGTAATTCTTGCTTGATACCTGTTCTGTTATATGTAATTTTACTATGTTAAAGTTAAAACTTTCCTTTTTGTTTAAACAGAAAAGGTGAAGTGGTGTGGGAGGTCCTTCTGTCTATGTGTTGCTCTTATTGGTTAATCAAATAAAAAAAAAAACTGCCTTGGCCTGTTGCTAGGACTGGAAAAACTGGACTGAATGCTGGGAGGAAGAAGAGTCAGAGAGACGCCATGGAGCCAACAGAGTCAGCCATACCTACTCTTTCCCGGTAAGCCACTGCCATGTGGCAATATGCTTATTAATAGAAATGGGTTTAATTAATGTAAGAGTCAGCCAATAAGAAGCTAGAACTAATGGGCCAAACAGTGATTTAATTAATACGGTTTCTGTGTGATTATTTTGGGGCTAAACTAGCTGAGTGGCCAGGACAAACAAACAGACCCTCCACTAATAGAAGGTTATGAGCTACTTCCATAGTTAAACATTCTGTTGTTAGAACAAAACAAGTCAAATACACATCCTAGACTGAAACATTCTGTAGACAAACCACTCCCTGTGTGGAATCCAATGTTATCTCTTGAAAGAAACTGGAATTTTAGTTGGATCCTAGACTTTTGTTAGGGGCAGAAACATATGTACTTCTCTATTCCTGAAGCACAAGGTCTGGCTATTAGCCACACTGTGGACAATAACCTTGAGAGAGTAGAACTCTCTGACCTGAATCTAGGTGTGACCTTGTTTGAGGTAGAAACACAATAACCTTGAAGGAATAGAGGTAAGTTCCAACTCTCTGACCTTTGGTGAAGGTGAAAATAGACATTTTTGGGCCTCCACACTGGGAAACAAGATTTCACCGAGGACGTACTTGTGGGAATCAGCAGATGTTATAACTGCTTGAGTTTGTAAGGGGTTAAGAAATGAGTTCCTGGGCTGGAGAGATGGCTCAGTGGTTAAGAGCACTGCCTGCTCTTCCAAAGGTCCTGAGTTCAATTCCCAGTAACCACATGGTGGCTCACAACCATCTGTAATGAGATCTGGCACCCTCTTCTGGCCTTCAGGCATACACACAGACAAAATATTGTATAAATAAATTTTTAAAAAAATAAAATAAAATAAAAAGAAATGAGTTCCTTTAGATCAAGACATTCTCTAAATTTGTTTTTTTTTTGTAACTAGAAATATCCTGTGATGTTCACACATCTTTGAAGCAACCAGACAGCTGAACTCAGGGCTGAAGGAACAAGCAAATAAAGCTGTTCTGTAGATGGACGCTTCTGTCCCACTGGTCCCACAGCCATTCAGTCTCAAAGAAACACTCAGAGGCTTATATCGATTATAAACTGTTTGGTCTATTAGCTCAGGTTTCTTACTAACTAGTTCTTAATTAAATTAACCCATAATCCTTGTTTATCGACGTGGCTTGGTACATTTTTTCAGGGAGTCGTTCTCATTTACTTCCTCTGAATCAGGTTGATGACTATGTCTCTCTGCCTTCCTCTTCCTAGAATTATCTTAGTCTGATTGCCTTGAATATATTTCCTGTCTGGCTAATGTCCAGTCAGCATTTTATTAAACCAATACAAGTGATAATTTTTACAGTGTACAAGAGCATTATTCCACACCACTGTTCTGATTATCTCCTTTATTAAAAAGTACTATCTATTGCTGAACAAACCCCTTCAAAATGTTCTAGACTGACATATCACTTGCTTTATGACTGCATTACAGCGCAAGGGCTGCCAAGGATCCACCAGGTGGTTAAGTGAAATTTTTCCCCATGTGCTACACTTTCAAAGTTGCAGTTGCGCATTGTGGACGCAAGATTGCCACAGACTCCCCTTTGAATTTATGAGCTAACACTCCTGCGTGAAAGTAAAAACTTCATAAAACAATGTCTTCCATTGCTGGATCTAGGGAGGGAAATGTACAAAGATGCTTTAGAAGGCAGGGGCCCTGACAGGATTCACAAAACAGTATCAAGACACAGGTATGCTGGGGTCATTGTAGGGGCCCCGCCTTTAATCCGAGCACTTGAAAGAAAAAGGAAGAGGCAGGAGAATCTGAAGGCCACCCTTGAACTAAGAGCTAATAACTAATTAAATCCCATATCTTCCTTTTCTATCCTCCAACCTTGAAAATTAAAAGTAAAACAATTTCACAGTCTTTCTTTTATTAGGACATAGGCACAGAATGGGATTGTGTGATGGTAAAGTGGATGTGTCTCGAATTTTTGAGGACTCCCTTGCTGTTGTGCAGAACGGCCAGGACAGCTTTCATCCCCACCAGCGCAGGCACTTGATCTTTTCTCCGTATCCTCATGAACACTCAACTCTGTTTTGTTTTATAATTGACAGGAGGCAGGATTGTATCCTCTGGATGTGACTTAGCGGTGCAGATAGTTTCTGTGGACAAACACTGACTCAGATCTGACATGGCTCAGTGGCTGCAGGTGGCATCTGAATTAGCCTTCCTGGTGGAATTTCACCTCCATAGCTGGAGTTCAGAGATGCTCTCAGTAGGATCTGATCCAATAGTAAATTAAGGCTGCGGCGGAAATGATGGAGACAGGAAATCTAACTATTTGAGGTCATGGGAAAACATTCCATCCAATGTGCCTTGAGGGTCACTTGATTTCATATGTACTATCTGTGTGTGAGAGATGAGTCAGGAGCCATCAGGAAGGACTCAGCTGTCATAAACAGCGCCATGAAGTTGTTACCAATACCATGCCAAGTTGTTACCAGTACCAGGTGAACATGCAAATGATAATTTATGGGACTATTTCCTTCAGATTTGTGCTCTGATTATGTCGTTGCATTACTGAAAAGACGAAGGTAACACCATGCTGTCCCAACATTACTCTCTGCCTGCCTGATCACTCCTCAGCCTTCCACCTTCAACATTCACATTCACGGTGTGGACGCTTCTGGTGCTGTCCACTTGACTGTGATTGGGATGTATTGTGTCTGGAAGATACAGACTAGCCTTGTAAACAATGAAGATGTTACTAGGCACCTCTAAATTCCTCACCACTTATATAGCCCTCCCCAACACTGACGTAATTATAGTTTTGTATTTTTAAATGCTGTACTCCTGAGCTCAGGCATCAAGAAACATCCCAGAGGTGTGAGTTCATTCTGCATGGCTATTAATAAAGGTTCTAATCGTTTAATTAGTTTTTTTTTAAGATTTACTTATTCTACCTGCATGTAAGCCTGCAGGCCTGAAGCGGGTGCCAGATCTCATTATGTGGTTGCTGGGAATTGAAGCTCTAACCTCTGAGCCATCTCTCCTGCACCACGTTTGTGCTTGTCAGTAACTATCTCATGTGGACCATTTCATCACCGGGTATCTTAGTCAGGTTTTTGTTGCTATGATAAACATTATGACCAAAAGCAAGTTGGGAACGAAAGGGTTTGTGTCAGTTTATAGTTTACAGTAAGCCTTGGAAGGAAAGTCAGGCAAAGAACTCAGGGCAGGAACCAGGAGGCAGGAACTGAAGTAGAAGCCAAGGATGCGGGCTGCTTACTGACTTGTTCCTCCAGGCTTACTGGGTTCGCCATCTTATACTATGCAGGGTCACCTTCTCGGGGGATACAACATCACCTACAGTGGGGGTCCTGTCATATCAATCATTAATCAAGAAAATGCCATGCAGGCTAGCTTACACTCCAGTTTCATGGAGGTGTTTTCTTAACTGAGTTCACTCCGCACAGATGAGCCTGGCTTGTGTCAGGTTGGTAAAAGGTTAACTAACTCAGTGGGTAAAGATTTCTCCTCTCATTTTGTCTTTCCACAGACAGAAGTCAGCTAAGACACAGTTTAAGCTCAAGTTTATTTAGCAAAGCAAAGGGACTCAAAGCAATAAAAAACTCCAGAACATTATCAAGGCAGGTGAGACTGGAGGTGGCTGGCAGCCCACTGGGCTCTACATGGTGGAGGTTTTTAAAGTTCCTCATGGTCCCCTCTCTCTTATACCAATGTCAAGTTCCTCCCTTTGGGAGCCAGCTTCATTTAAATTACTCTGCTGAAATTGTTCCAGGGCCAAGATGTCTGCACAGTTATCCCTTGCTTGCTCATCAGCACAATTGTTGATGACATCTATGGTCATTGGGAAAGTGCCCTGGTGCCTTAGTTTCTTACATAGCAGGAGGAGCCCAGCTGCAGCTTCAAAGGTCTCTGTCCACAAAGGAGCATTGCAACATCAGGAGACACAGCAACCAAGACACAGCCGTAGTCCATTTGATTGCCTCCCTGGTAAGCAGGAAGCTCATCTCTGCCAGTTCTAAAGCTGTGAAACCCAACGCCAAGATGCCAGCATGGCCCAGGGTCTGCTGGTGCATCATGTCCTGGTGGGGATGTCACATGACCAGAGCTCAGTTTATCTAAGCTTTTGTAGGTGTCATTCAAACCACTGTCAGGCCTTTCCCCAAGTCTCTTAACCATGGCTTCTGGGGTCAGGCAAGAGCAAAGGCTTTCATCAGTGTGTGCTGGCTTTGCGTGAGGGGATGGAGAGAAGAGGACTCTGCAAACAGTTTTCTGCAGGATTCTCAGGAACAGAGACCAGTGAAGGTCATACAGACTCCAGGGTTAGAATCCAGTGCCCCTCAGCTTGCCTGTGCGTCTTTCCACAGAACAACTCTCTTAGAATGGCAAATCAGCATCTTGTCCCCTTTACAGAATAAAGAAACCAGACAGAGGCATCTGGAAGAATCACAGCAATTTGCTGTACACTGGGAGGGCCCGCAGCCTAGATAGAGGGAGGGCAGAGATCTGTATGATAAAGTAATCAAGACGGGATTCGCAGGCAGGAGTCATTACATGTGTTTTCAGAGATGTTTTAGTTTCTTTTGGCAGATCCACTTGTTTTCTGAATCACAGCTTTCTGAAACCACTTTGTCCTTTGAGACAACGACACAGCTGTTTCTTATAGCATCGCCTATGATGTTCAATTTGAGGAGGAAGAGAACAGCCACTCTTAATGTTTGGGATTTTCTCATAATTATCTTGAGTTGGACATGTTTTCCTCTGGACTTCTAAGGACTGTAGAATACATAGTTTTTAGTTATAGTAAACCTAGAGTATCAACATACACCAACATTAAAGATAAAGGTTTATGTGAACAAATCTCCAGCATAATTTTCATTTTTACTTACAACTGGAGAAGAATTCTTGCAGCCAAAAAAAAAAAAAAAACCTTCATCTGATATAACAAAGGAGAAGGTTTGAAAACACAATTGAATCTTATTCTACTCCTAACATGTCATGCAAGGAAAAAAGCCGCCTCAATTTGCTAAACTTCGGTCTCCTAAATATATAGGCTATAACCAGCCAATGCTTGGGGAAGGAGCTCATGTATACATGAACATGTGACAACAGATAAACACAGCGGTGCTTAGTGGCTCTACAGACTCTCAGCATCCACAGAGGGAAGAGGCTAAGGCTGTGTGACGGCAGTGGTCCCTTTATCCCTGGGAGTATTTAATTTAGTACTTATACATGGCTCCCGTGTCTCCCATGGTACACTGCAGGTGTGAACAAAACAAGAATTCAAACACAGTGCAGGTAAAATTAGAGTTAACTGTAGGGACGAGATGAGTTCAAAATGCACTAATTTATGGTAAACAGAAAGGGGGTGTGTGACAGTGGGCGGGACTTCCTCCCAGATGCTCTCTCTTGTTTGGTCATTTTTTCATGGAGCCCTTTGGGTCTGAGAGAGAAATTGCTCTCACCCACCTGCCTGGATGCTAGTCATACCATAGACTCCCTCCACTGTAAAGGTTCCTTTGTCTTATTTCTTCCATGCTTCAGGATTTTATTCAGTTTTAAAGATGATTTCCTTAGGACTGATCTGTTCAAAATGCCTTTGAGGCTTCCTAGGCCTTCACCTACCAGGCCGTGGGAGGCCTCTAACATTATTTTATTAATTTCTCAAATCATCGTTCAGGGAAAATGGTTACTTTTTCCTTTCTGAAAACCAGGGTCGAAGCTAAAACAAAGGCAGGGCTTAACCAATGCTCTTTCTGCTGTAGCTCAGCAGGCTCCAGACTTACCTGATGGCTGTTATATTTAAAGCATCATTTTACACTCAGAGTAAAAATGACAGATGGACTGAGCTTAATCCATACTCTTCATGTGCCTTACAATTTTATTATCACTGTGAATCACAATAAAATAAGCATGTTACATCACAAACATGCACATGCGTGTGCGTGCACACACTCACACAGAAAAGTGTTATGCAGGCTTCTAAGTAAGAAGAATCATCAATTCCAACTTAGCTGTGGATCCCACAGACTACAATAACAACCTGCTTAAACCACTGGAGCAATAGTGACAAGAAGTCACTATTATGGAAGTAACCAACCACTCTCTGTGCTGATTGGATTTGAGGCCCACTCAACAGGATGGAATTTATGCCTATACTACCAGTCTGATCAAACCCATATGGGAACACACTTCTGTTGCATTGCTAGACAAATGTTTCAATTGCTTTCCAAATGCATAAGTTTTATTACAGATTATTGCTGCTCTCAGTCTTTATCACAGAAACTTCTTTTTGCAGTAAGAAGTGATTTGACAACTGGAAGTGATCACTGAATGCTCAGCCATAAGTGGGACAGGGAACGTCATGGAAAGGGGCAAAAAGAATGTAAGAGCCAGAGGGTGGGGACGATGTCCATGATGTGTCTTCTGAACTTGATGTGGCTGATGTATTCATGCAGCCACTGCTGCTATGATTACCTGCATGAGACCTGGACAGATTGGGAACTGGATGGCAATCTTTCCATCACTGGTAGAAAGGGAGATCTGAGACCCCAGACAGAGGATACAGGTAGTTAATAGTTGCTAGATGTGGAGATGTAAATTTCTTCAATGACATAGCCGTTATTCATTTGCCTATACTCCAGGGACTAACTCCCAGTTTATTTCATGCAAGCAAGCCAATTAAACTCAATGGATCTCTCTTCCTCTCTCTCTCCCCCCTCCCCACCCCCCACCCCCACACAATTGTATAGCAATTTCCTCTGAACTGAAAAATTCCATCCTGGAAGGAAACTAATTCAGATTCAGAAAGTTCTAAAGGGAAGTTCCCTAAAACTCAGAAAATAAACAACTCAAAAGTCTTAACAAGCTCCTGAAACTGATCAGACGCAGGACACATTTTCTACCCAAAGGTTATATGAACAGTAAGAATTGGTGAGAAGAAGTTGTCTCACCAGTTGAACTGCCTACAAGCTCTGCAGAGCGCTTGAAGATTCCAGCTGTTATGAGTTGTCACCAGTTTGGGGAGAGTTTTCAGTGATCAACTGTCTTTGTGTCATTTATGTTCTGTAAATACTCCCTCATTCATACTCTTACAAGTAATTACAATGAACTCACTGGCTTACCAGATTGGACTTGGGTAGTATTGTTATTTTAATCTGTCACTGGTTCCCTATCTGGGGTCAGTAGACATTTATCTCCATAGAAATAGTGTCACATAATTCTCTCTCTCTCTCTCTCTCTCTCTCTCTCTCTCTCTCTCATTCACACACACACACACACACACACACACAGACACACACACACACACACACACACAGTAGGAGAGGAACTTGAGAGTTTGTTGGGAATAAGAAGAGTTTTAGTAGAAGAGATAGAAGGAAACGGTACATGAAAATGACACAAATTCACTAAATATTTGGACGAAATTAGTAGGGAACACCTCACAAATCAAACCTTGCCTTGCATGAAAAGTATAAGTTAACATCAAATAGTTCTATTTCTTTATAGGTACTATGTTGAAAATAGTCTTCATTGTCACAGGTTTATGCTACTTTGACACCACTGAGTCATCTGAGAGGAGGAAACCTCAATAAGAAGATGCCTCCATAAGATAGGGCTGCAGGCAAGCCTGTGAGACATTGTCTTAATTAGTGATTGACATGGGAGGGCCCAGATCATTGTGGATAGGGATACCCCTGGGCTGGTGGTTCTGGGTTCTATAAGAAAGCAGGCTGAGAAAGCCATGAGGAGCAAGTCAGTAAGCAGTATACTTCCATGGCCCCTGCATTGGCTTCGGCTTCCAGGTTCCTGTCCTGTTTTAGGTGCCCGTCCTTACTCCTTCAGTGATGAACAGTGAGGAAATAAACCCTTTCCTCAACTCGCTTTTGGCCACAGCAATAGTAACTCTAAGTAAGACGCTCAGAAAGCATTAGGAAATATCAGGATAGATTTTATGAAATAGAATATGTATATTTTTGTTTTTATAAATATATTCTGGAACAGGACTCTTGTTTTTAAATAATCCTCACTTTAACATCTCGTTCATTGAAAAAAATTCAAAATGTGGTCCTGTATAGTGTCACATTTACTATCTAGGTAAATTTTTTCTATTTAATAATCTCTATACTTAATATGTTATCTGTAAATAAGCCTATGTATGCTTCATTCTTTAAATTTCTACATTTTTATTCTATATGATTAAAAGGAATATTTTAAGTATTGATTTGTGCAATGTGCACAAATTTACTCAAGATTTGTGTCTTAGCTAAGGCTACCATTACTGTGATGAAAAAGCATGACCAAAAGTAGCTTGTGAAGAAAAGAGTTTATTTTACTGAGAGTTACTGAGGTTAAGTCAGAGCAGGAACTTAAACATAGCAGGAACTTAAACAGAGCTGATGCAGAGGCCATGGAGGGGTGCTTCTGACTGTCTTGATCACTGTATTTGCTCAGTCTGCTTTCTTATATAACCCAGGACCTCCAGGCCAGGGGTGACACCACCCACAATGAACTGGACCTTACATCATTAATTAGGAAAATGTCCTACAGGCGTGCCTACAACCTGATTTTATGGAAGCAGTTTCTCAATGGATGTTCTCAGATCCACCTCTTAGATGACTCTAGCTTGTGTCAAGTTGGTATAAAATAAAACTCACTAGCACAATTACTGAAATATGATTCTCAACATTATCTCTTTTGAAAAAAATAATTGAAAGCTCTGTACAGAAATTTGATTGAATCCTGCTTGCTTTTGCTTATGAAAAACATAAATACGTTGTTGATGGGACAAGGTCCAGAAATGGACTCAGGTAAGGAGAAGTCTGAGTGATTGAGAGAACATTCCAAGAAAGCAGGACAAGAGTCTTGTGACTCAATTCCTTCCAAACATGGAAATGTGGTTGGAATGCATTTTCTCGCTCCTCCAGGCACAACAGAAAGGAGTGGGCTTATTTCAGATTACTTATTAGTACTTACTGTTAGTAATCAATAATATTCAAGGTGTCCTCTGTGTGCGTCTCTGGAAGAGCATGTTTGTCATGCTCAGCTTGTCTTTGTTATTGTGTACAGCTAAAGCCTGTGAACTTTGCTCATGTGAACTGTCTCAACCCTCAGAGTACAGACGGCTGCTGCTCTGTACAAAGCCGGCTGCTGCACGAGGCTTTAGTCCACCTCATTTATTGGCTCTGTTCTCTCAGCTCCTACCACATCTGGAGCAGTGACACGTTGCTCCTTGTTATGCCAATAATCATGCATTCTGCTAAAATAAACAACTTAACTATGAAGCATCAGCTCTTTCATTGCGTTTGTGACTGTGTAGACAATCTCACACAACAGGAAAACAAGACACCAATGGGCAAATAGCTAATGTGCTGCTTAAGACATTCCATGCAAAGTGTAGAAAAGGATAGGAGATAAAAGAAAGAGCAATGTGTGCTGAGGTTCTAAGCAGCCATTTTTCAAAGGAGTTAGTCTGCTTCCTGGCCTTAAAATTCCATCTCATACATACATACTTGCATATGTACATATATGCATACACATGACTTTATAAAAGGCTGGTATCTTTTCACACATGGAAATTTTCAGCTACTTTTGGAATCGTACTTTCAGACTGTTCTGAACATCTCTAATCTTTGGTATCAGTGTTGGAGCCCTACAGTAAGATGACGTGAAATGAACATTCGAGTGAGCTCCTCCAATACTCACACATCAGAGCTTAAAGTAGAGCCGTTTATCCATCTCCAGTGCTTGTCTGGCAAGGTGTAATTTAGTCCAATCCAAAATGAATGTCCTCTTTTCTTTATCAAGTCCTTTACGAAGCTCTACAATCAAAACAGAGGAGAGGACTTAACCTGAGCCTGTGTGCTGTGACTCGTATTCCACAGCCTCCCGACACCTAGGTCAAGTGTCACCTGTGTCCGTCCTGAGTCCTCAGCACAGTTCATTCTTCCTCCCTTGAGGAATCTGTGCCCAGCATTTACAATTCTAGGACACCCACCTTACATATGCAGTTATTGGTTCACATATTCCTCTAGTCTCTCAGACTATAAGCTTCCATAATGTAAAGTCTCCACTGCCTTTGTGTGGAAGATCTGTTAAGTCAGGAGACGTTGGTGCAGCTTCAGAGATGTGCTAACATCTCTATTTTATAGAACAACTCACCAGTTCTTCTTGGTCTTGAATGAGCAGCAAAGTGGCTCCTTTTCTAGTGCAGTTAGACAGACCGTCCTTCCAAACACCGTTCTCTTGAGAAAACAGTATGCATTTCTCTCGGTGTGGCAGCCAGTCTTTGGGGCACTTTAGCTGGACTGGACTCTCTGAAGTGAGGAGCAGACATGGTGAATTTCACCCTGTCCCTGCTGCACCACAGCCAATTACACACAGTAGTTGCTTTGCTAACACACACTTTTACACACACAGTAACATGTGCTGGGACAAGATCACTGTTAATGACACATCAAAGAAATACAAATGACACAGAATTTATTTTATTTTTGTTTCTTTTAATTAACTTCAGACAAGGTTAACTATATGAAATTTTGATTAAAACAACCAAATATTCATTGTAGTGGTTTGATAAGAATGATCCCCATAGGCTGATATATTTGAATGCTTAGTTATCAGGAGTGGTACCACTTTAGGAGGCATGGCCTTGTTGGAGGAAGTGTGTCATGGGGGTGGGCTTTGAGGTTACAAAAGCCCAAACCAGGCCCAGTATCCTTCTCATCTTGCTGCCTGCAGATCCAGATATAGAAGTGTCAGCAACTACACCAGCATCATGTCTGCCTGCATGGTGCCATGCTCCTCACTGTGATGACAATGGACTAAACCTCTGAAACTGTTGTGAATGCTGCCCTTTACAAGAGTTGTCATGGTCATGGTGTCTCTGCACAGCATTAGAATACTGACTCTAAAGAATTCCTCTAAATCAAACTATTTTTTTGTCTTCCATGTCTTTGTCTCTGTGTGTGTGTCTTAAATGCATGCGTGTACAAGTACATGTGCCTATGCACGTGCGGAGGCCAGAGAAGGATGTAAGGTCTCTGCCTCTGTCCCTCTCCACCTATTCTTTAGAAGCAGAGTCTCTAATTGAATGTGAAACTAATACTGATTTCTTTAAAACTGGAAGGAGGCAGACCTCAGTGACTGTCCTGGGGTGTTCATTACATGGATGCTGAAGCTGTAATTACTGTCTCTAGGCTTGCACACAAACACTCTTAAGCACTGAGCTGTCTCTGAAGCTCCATATTTTACTTTTTAAGTTGCTGTTCGTCTGTAGTAATCAACTGTGCTATCAGGCTGAGGCAGCATGGTCAGGAAGCCAAGGTGCTAGATTTTAAGATCACATATCTTCAGTTTCCAATGCCATCACTTACCAGTCACATGACTTTTGACAAGTTCTTGACCTTTTTATGTCCGTTTTCTCGAACATCAGACCCACCATGATGTGAGCCTTGATGAAAGGTAATGTGGTATTGATCAAAATCAGGAAATCAAAATTACCTGTTGCCTTCGTACTGCTCTCTGAAACGTTCACATTGCATTTTTCGTCTGTTGTTTTCATCTTGTTCTCTTGAATGCCTTTTCCTACTGGCGTTTTTTGTACTAGCGGTAGATAGAAAACACAGGAAGAAGGTGAAATGTACATTTAACATACAATGGAATGGATATTGTATCTATCACTTCAGGAAACGAAGTCAACTCAACAAGCTTGAGTATGGACAGGAGACAATGTATTAGCAACATGTTAATAGGGGACCACTTTGGAGACAGAGTGAACAGAGAACCAGAAGAGCACAGAACAAATGGGTTCACACTGCTGTTGGTTACACCACATCTAAGTGCTGTAGGGAGCAGGGCCCCTTGTTCCGGCTGCTCGGCTAGCTTCTAAGGGCATTGTGGAGCTCATGCACCTCTCCCACCTCTGAACTTCACCCCTGTGGGGTGAGGATGCTCACACCCGCACCAAGCATAGGTTGCTGGCTGTCTTCTGGAGTTTGGCAGACACCTTATAAACTCATATTTAGGCATTGTGGTTTTCATTGTTATTGTTATCTTGTCACACTTGTGACCTTTTTAGAGTTCTATGTGCACATGTGTCATCCCCATAGTGATTCTCCAAAACAGGAGAAATGCAACAGGGGATATTGTCCTGTAACTGCCCGTCATTGTTCCTCCCCCAGGCTCAGGGTGGCCAGTTCATGTGAAGAAGCCGAAATACTATGGTGGAACTAGAGGAAAATTTTGTTTTGTTTTGTTTTTCAAGGCATGGTTTCTCTGTGTTGCCTTAGCTGTCCTGGCATTTGCTCTGTAGACCAGGCTGGCCTATGAACTCACAAAGCTCTTCCTACCTCTGCCTCTAGAATGTTGAAATTAAAGTCCTTTGTCACCACTGCCAGGCTAGAGAGAGAATTCTAAGGTAAAAGCTTTTGTTTCACTTACCTAAGACACCAAGTCCAATCACAGTCAGGACAAGAAGGATCAGCCCAACACAGCCGAGTTTCAGAGCCAACCAATGCCAGCGTGGGCACCGGCAGCTGTCTGAGAAGTTAAAGAAAACACACTTTTAATCTAGTTGAGAGCGTTTGCAATCAATGTGGTAGTTTGATCAACATGAACAATTGGATTCATGTTGAGGGTGGGGTGCAGAAAAGAGCCTTTCTTAGCCTCCTTACTACGAATTCTACATTGGGTCAAATGGGTGGTAGGAAGGTAAAACAATTGATGAAGAAGATGTCTTGAAAATTGCTGAGTGGGTGCTGTACAAAAATAAAGTATGTGATGGAGGAAGGTCATTGGTTAATTAATAAAGAAACTGCTGGGCCCTGATAGGTTAGAACGTATGTAGGTGGAGTAAACAGAACAGAATGCTGGGAGGAAGAGGAAGTAAGCTCAGACGCCATGCTCCCCTCTCCCGGGCAGACACGATGAAGCTCTGACCCAGGATGGACGTAGGCTATAATCTTCCCAGTAAGCGCACCTCGGTGCTACACACATTAATAGAAATGGGCCAGTCAGTGTTTAAATGAATACAGTTTGTGTGTTGTTATTTTGCTGTATAAGCTAGCAAGGCGGCCAGGAGCCGGGCTGTGGGAAGAGGCCCGCAGCTCCATCAACAAGTATGTGTTCTGCTATGGGAATGAGCCAGCAATTCCTCCAAGAAGGAGTGTCTTCCTTTATAGGAGGTACAGACACACACACACACACACACACACACACACACACACACACCTTAGTTTTTGGCTAAGTACCACCTTTGGTGCTGGTGATGTATAGCAATTCTAATATTTAACATGGGGCCTGCTTCACTGTTGTCTGTAATGATCTTCTCCATCTTGGAATAAAGTTTAGGCACCTGTGTGGTTTGTTTGTTCTGGACAGAGTTTCAATATGCTGCCCTGGCTGATCTGGAACTCTAAGCAGACCCCAGTGGCCTTGGCCACCGTGTTGTTTACAGCATTTTAACTACATTATTCTCCCATTATCTGCAAAGATCGAGCTCTCCAACTCTTAATGGAGAGCTGAGCTGTGGTTAGAAGCCATCGCTATGAATATTGCTTCCCACAGGCAAACACAAGGGAGTTTTCTGTCTTAACTGAGTATGTGCATAAGTGTGGCTGTGACTTTCACAGCTTGCTATGTACTAGCAAAATCTGTTTTGATTTTTCTTTTTTTTCCCTTTCCTTAAATGGAGTCTTTTCACCTTTTCATGTAGAGGAAGCAAGTGTGGCTTCCCTTTGACGCAGGAGTGTTGCCAGCGTTCAGAGAGTTCACAACTTGAGGCCACTATTCAGTAAAATGAGAGGTATTTGATCACAAGCCTGGGTGACTGGCAGGCTGTATTAGTCAGGGTTATCTAGGGTCACAGAATTTACAGAATGAATCCCTCTCTCTCCATATATATATGAATTCACTGGGAGGACTTTCAGGCTGCAGCCCAACAATGTTGGCTATGAATGGAGAGCTCGACTCTAGTAGCTGCTGAGTTCTGCAAGGCTGGTGTCTCAGCTGCTCTGCTGGGATCTCGAAGAAGGAGATGAAGGAATGTGCTTATGGGGGTGAGGACAAGCAGGTGAAGCAGCCCTTCCCCCACCCTTCCTTCTTCCATTGTCCTTCTATGGGCTTCCAACAGAAGGTGTGGCCCAGATTAAAGGTGTGCCTTCCAGTCTCCAGGTCTGATATAAAGGCATGTGTCATCCAGCCTTAAAGGCCAGATGTCTTCCTGCCTCAATTTCAGGATCGCAAACATGCCCTCATTTTTGGATTAATTACACTCCAGGCATTAGTTGACAACCAAGAAGAGCCGTGACAAAGGTGGTGAGGAGTGACTCATGCCTTGACCAAGACGGTGGGAGTGCTCACTGTGCCCTTCACAACAATGTCCAGCTCAAGACACAGAGTTACTCCTTCCTGGATTTTTCTATTTAACCATTGGATTAATATTTATCAACTTGTTGACTACAAATTATGAAAGTGTACCAGATTGAAACTGTTGATTAAGGGGGTTCTGTGCTATAACACATGCATCTACAATACTGCCTTGGTGAAATACCAGGTCCTGTATCTGTGCTTTTCTTGGTGACCATAGCAGTTACTACACAATAAATATCTTATGTATATCAGGAGTTCAAATACATTTAGTTATAAATGTGTTCATAAAGTATCATGATTTAGACAGTTTATTTTGACTTTAGGCAACTTTAAAAGCATGGGTGTCATATAAAACATAGTAACAATTGTTTTGGTTTATTTATGAAAATACTATGGAGAACCATTAGCTAGCTTCTATCACTCTAATTTAATTAAAATACCAGATTGCTCTTATTTGCTCTCTAGCATCTACATTCATAATGTTCTTATAAATTCTAAGAAAACTTTCCTAGTTGCCTTTTTGCTGTACTTTCTAGGGTTTCCTGTTGTCCAGGTTGACTTCTAACTCTATGTGGTTGAGAATGGCTTTGAACTCCTGATCTTCTGCCTCCACCTCCCAGGTTCTGGTTGGTATCATAGTTATGAACCACATCCCTTCCTAAGGTTTCCTTATTTTTGCAAAGTACCTTTTGATTTTTGATTAACACATATTTCCTTTTGGCTTTATATCTTTCTAAATATTAATGTAATTGTAATATAAATGTTAATGTAAATGAATACATGTTTTGAATTCATGTTAAATTTTTAAAATCAGATGTGCTGTTATTTACTATACTTGTCTTTTATTATTCATTGTATTTACCAGAATTGTTTATATATGAATTTCTACCTCTTCTAGATACATTTTATTTTATTTTCTTACATTATCCCAGACAACTGAATAGTTTAATCCAGACTGAAGACAATGACCAACTGTCTCTAGTCTCTAAACCAGCATTGAGACAGGACAGTCACTTAGATGAGTTAGTATCTTTGCAAATTTTCCACTGGAGAAAGAAGAAAAGGAAGGGGTGAAGAGAGAGAGAAGAAGAAAGGTGTTCCAGAAGAGTCATGGACACTGTAACACGTGTTTGGTGTAGTATCTGTAGACCCAACTAGCTACAGATGGCAGATTGTCACATACAGAAGGCTGCTTCTGTGTGGAAAGCACACTTCCTTTCTCCATCTTTAGTCTCTAACAAATACTCCACAGCAGCCATTCCCATGGCTGTGAAAGCAACCTCGGTGCTGTCAGTATCTACAGATTATATGAAGCATGCAGCAATACGCAAGCAGGTTACTTATAAGGACTACATTTTGTGTAAGAGACCAGCATGCATGCAGAGGTCTGCAAGCAACCTGCTGTGGACAGTGAGCAGGGCAGTATGGAGAGAGGTGACGGAACTGTCATGGAAGGAGGCAGTGTGTTAGACTTGAGGATATGGCTAGTGGCTGACCACAGCTGCTGTGTAGGTCGTGAGTGTCCTGGACAGGAGGCAGGACTGTAGGCAACAATTATTCTAAATTCCTGAGCATAGCATCTGGCCTGTGGTAACTGGCAATAAATATTGTTTTCTTCCTTCCTTTCTTCCTTTCTTTTTTCCATAAAGTGAGGGTTTTTTTATTTGTTTTTGTTTTAATTATAGGTAAAAAGCCTCTTAGGTGACTTTAAAAAAAATCTTTATCCATTCATGACAAAATTTAAAGAGCTCCTGTCGTCCCCGTACTCTCTGCTCTACTATTGGAGTTACATACAGAAGGGGCTTTGTAAACACTGGCTCTGTGGCAGTACCTGCTTTGGTACCCACAGAAAGCTAAGTCATCTCCACTGTTCCAGACATTTCAGTGGCTTTCCCCTCAACATCTGAACCTATGGAATGCCCTCCAAATCCCTCCACTGGTCACCATTCCTCCTGGTTTGATCTCTACAGCACACCGGGCATGCATGTTCCCCACATCACAGTCCTGTTCTCCCTCTGCATTTGCAGGTGCAGCTGCCTAGAAGGCTCCTCTCTCAGATACTCAGCCTTGGTCTCCAGAGACTTCCAGGGCTTGAGGCCAGCATCATCTCTCAGAAAGGCCTGCCTTGATCACTCTGCTTGACAGAATGCCAACTCTAATGGCAAAAATCTTAATTTCCATTTAAATGCTTTCTCGCTGGCATTCAAAATCACACTGTCTGACACGGGTATTTATATCACTGATTTAAACCTTCACAGTAATATAACATCTACAGGGAGAAAGATTTTTTCCTGTTTCTTCATGGCTGTTTCCCCAGTGTCTAGAGCAATGTTTGTCTCATAGTAATTGGTTATTTCTGAGTGAATAAATAAACCCCAGAGGCATTTTTATCTATTACAATTATATTTTTACATGACCATTGAGCCATCAAAACAAATCTTTGGCCTTTTGACCACAAACAAAATAGGTCACTACTCACGTCCCCCTTTCCGGTTCTCTTTGCTGGCAGATCTAATCACCGTGCTTCGAATTTAGCATGGTGTGAGCCCTTTAGCTAAATGCGTCCTGGTGGTTTCACAGTTATGCTTCTGCATCAACATTTTCTATCCGAACGCTATGTTCTGTTTCTATCTACTATTGTTTTGTTTTTCTTCAGTTTTATTCCCAGATTATTGAAGTTTAAAATAATGATTTTTTCCCTAATCTTTTTTTTTTCCTACATACGTTTTTTCTAGTCTTCTTGACTTGGGATCTTAGACAGTAGAGTTTGAGAAGAGCCTCCTTATCTTTCTCTATATTCATTTTCTTACAGTCTTTCTCCACTTTTGCTAGACATGATGGGAAAACCAAGACTTGCTTTTTCTCAACAACAAAATTACTGTTGCTACGAATTCTCCCTACACTTATCAAAACAGCAATTCCCTCCACTTTCTGTTCACCCTATGTAAGCATTATAATGAAGCTTATTTGCTGACTCGAAGACTTTCTTCTTGACTCCAGCTTTGGCAATGTACACAGTTCTAACAAGAAGCTCTGGAGTTGGAAGTCCACGTGTCATAACACATAGAATCGTCAGATTGGAAAGCAACTGCTTTAAGACGAATGTCAGTGGATTCAGTTAGCCAGCAGAATGGAATCGTGTGTCATGATCATTTTATAGACTTTCTGCCTGAGCTCCTGAGCTCTTACATCTCGGCCATCCTCAGGTTGTGTGCTACATCTGAACAACTGTCCACTTTTCTTTAGCTCGTATCACTAAATCCTCTGGTAGACAAGAGTGCTACTTTCAGTCATTGTTAAAGGGTTAATTCCTGACTGGCTTTGGTACCTTGTGTGGTACATCCATTTAAAACTGTTATACTTTGCAAGATAGAAACAGCCAGCTTTTTAAAAAAATACACGTACCACCACCACCAGCAGCAGCAGCACCAGCAACAGCAGCAACAGCAACAGTAGCTTTTGATTTAATTCAAGTCTTTGATTTTGACTGTGACGTTTCCCCAAGATTACCCTCCTTTCTGGGAGACAAAGACATTAGCCATTAAATCTACACTCTGCACTGTGAAGGGACATTGAGGTTGCTGTTCTGTACAGCTGGGCCACAGTGATCACATTCTGTAGGTGAATTCAGAACTGGCAATTGATTGCATCAACATCTCTTAAAACACGACGTGGCTCATGTAAGTAAAATATTCTTTCTTCAGGATTTTCAACAAAGTCTGAATAGGGGAAGTGATGCTCAGGTTTTCTGCTGCCTAATCGAATAAAAATGGAATGCATGACCTTCCCAGAACTGTGGTTTTCTGCAGGCATACTGCCACAGTATTTAACACTAACATAGACACAGACCTGCTTCTCACCTTCAAAGCAGTGACTTAAACCCACACATTTCAGAGGAAAATTTTAACTCTGGAAGATAATTTAAATGCCAGAGAAGAAAAGCTGCTTACCTGGGAGAGGAGCTGGAGGGGATGCCTGCTTAGGCTCTTGGGTCCTGGCTAGGTTTAAGTCAGCGTAGACCACTGATGCATCCATTGTAGGTGGGGGGACTTGACAGTGAACTTGTGGACAGGAACAGACTCCAAGGTCTGTGAGTTGAAATAAGTGAAAAAGGAAGTCCACTGCGCACTCTCTGCTGTGTGGGTCCACACCCACCCACACTGGTAGCTGAGGGTTTCTCCATAGTTACTGACCGTGGTGCCTGTCTGCTCACAGGGCTTACTTTTTATTATTTTTTTAAACAAAGAATTGCAACATACAGGACACAAAGTTTGGTTTTTAAACATATTTCTGGGATGGTCTCTTTTGTTCTTGTCCCTCTGTCGGTTATAAGTTATCCCCTCAGAACTCCGATGAAATATTCATCTTGAATTCAAATTTACCTTGCTCCTGAACTCCCAGGCTTCAGATGTAAGCCATTTTCTGCTGTGTCATGAGACTGAGGGTTATACATGAAAGCCTATGGTGCTATTTGGCACCGGTTGAAGCTCTGAAACCCTCTTGAAATATCCACACTGTGAAATGAGCTGTGGAGTGTGGAGCTGCAGACTGGAATGTGGGAAAACCTCATGACTGACACAAGAGGAAGAGCAGTGATAGGAGCAGCGTGTGCCACTCAGAGCAGTCCTGAGTGAAAGGACTTCATCCGTCAGAGCGACAGGGAGTGGACGACACAGGTCTATGCGATGTGCTAACTCCTCCACGGATTTCTAGACGCAGAGCCTTAGAGCAAGGACCACACCTAAGTCAGACAGTCTCATATCACAAGTGAAAAAGAAGAAGAAAAGCGAGGATTTCCTTAAAGTCACTTTCTGTGGTCGGAGTGGAATTGTGCAGGTGTGCACAGTTACTCAACCGTGGCAGCAGTCTGCAGGCTGTGCGTTCCAGGAGTCAGGTGCATACTCGCTGCGTGGAGAGCACATTCATTTCCGAAGGCCATTGATGATTACAAAGTGAGGTGAAGCCCGTGTGCGGGTCTCACAGCACACATCGTGACTCAGTGGAACCTCCTCAGCTGTCACTCTTTGTTGACAGTCATTTCACCCAACGCCAGGCACGGAGTTCTGTCTCATTCTCCATCTAAACCTAAGATTTCAGCAAGTGTGCAAGACTGTCCAGAGCTGTGCATCTTGTGTGATTCTATTTATTTCTTTCGCCCAGATTACTATAATCTCTGGTAGACAAGGGTGCTAATTTCAATCAGTGTTGAACTTTTAGTATAGTATATTTCATATACATCAGGTCCTCAGGCTTTATTTAAATTATTTAAAAGTTCATTAATAATTCATTTTCTATCCAACAATCCCCCTCTCTTTCTGGGATATCATAGCCTTCAGGGCTTAAATGTGTGAAGAACATTCCAAATATTTGAGGTGGGTCATGGGCAATGGTTAAGCAAACAACGCTGTGGTTAGTGACTATGGGGATATATTAGACCAAGAAAGTAAAGAGGAGTCTGATTCTGTGTTTAGGTGAAGAATTAAGCTTTGAAAAGATAGTGAAGGATATTGAGGTTTCTTTTTTTCTTTCTTCCTTTTTTTTTTTTTTGTTCTTACTCTATTATTTCATGTGTTGGTGTTCTGTGGTTGTGAGCTGCCCTGTAAGATGGGAACTGAACGTGAACCTCTGGGAGGACAGCCAGTGCTCTTGACTACTGAGCCATCTCTTCAGGTCCAACACTGAAATATAACAAGTTCTGAAGCCTGGTTCTGATGTCTCTACAATGACCTTATTAAATGCAAGAGATTTGAGGGGGAGGTATTTTCATTAGCTGGTGTGTCCAAAAGTCTCTAAGCCACAAAGCGTAAAGAAACTAAAAATAACAACACATCGCCATTGGTCTGTGTGCTCCACGCAGCTGATAGCCCACTTTTCCTGTGATGGAGTGACAGGAGCCATGACAATGACCTCACAGTTACAAATACAACGAGAGTTTTGTTATGTAGCCATCATTGTACAGATAAAAATAAAACCCTCCTGAGAGTTCACATCTGGAGAAAGCATCTGCCTACTGAAGACATCTGATCACCTCATTGACCAAACGATTGTTTCACTGCAAAATGTCAGATTGCAGGATGACATTGATCTTGTTACTGTAAAATAGAAGGAGGGTAAGCGGACGTGAATTTGTGTGTGACAGAGTACAATGTGATATTAATCATTCATGATGCGATGACAATAAAGAATTTAAATGGGGAATGGTGTAAGAGATCCTGGGCTTTAATTATTTTTATTTATCCATGTATATGTTTATACATGTGTGTGAATACAGTGTATGTTTGTATCGTGTATGTGTGCGAGTGTTTGAGTGTGTACACAGCCGTGTGCATGTCCAGTGGCCAGAGGGGACTGTGGGATATTCTTTCCTTCTTGCTCCTTTGAGGCAGGGCTTCCTCTGGACCTTGCATTGATTTTCTTTGTTTTTCCAGAGAGTCTGGAGAACAATATCCTTCAGTGACGCCCCCCCCCCATCTCCTCCCCTCTGGATGCTGGGGTTACAGTGTTCCAGGGACCACACCTGGCTTGCTGTATCTTTTTTATTTGCTGAGCTCTCTCCAAATCCTGTTACTAAGTTTCAAAGTGGCTGTAGTTAAAGTCTTATTAAAAATCTCAAGGATTAAGAAAGACAAGCATCCCAGTGGTAGCCTGCTTTGTTATCAACCTCTCTTACTTTCATAGCGGAAGTTAGAATGTACAGAAAAATAGAGTGAAAGAGCAACATTACCCTTGAACGTGAAGAAATAAAGAGGCTGTACGAAAAACAGTGATATACGAGGGGCTAGAGAGATGGTTCAGTGGTTAAGAGCACTAGCTGATCTTTCAGAGGTCACATTTTTGACTCCCAGCATCCACCAGGCAGCTCAAAACTGTAACTCCAGTCCCATGTGTCCTGATACCCTCCTCTAGCTTCTCTGGCCACCAAGTGCTCACATGCTGCACAGATGTACATACAGACAAAACACCCACTCACGTAAAATTAAATAAAAATAATTTAACAATTTTTTTAAATTTAATTTTACATTCCAACCACAGTTCTCCTTCCCACTCCTCCTCCCACCCCTTTCACCTTCCCCCCACAGCCTACCCTGCCATCCACTCCTCCCAAAGGGTATGGCCTCCCATGGGGAGTCAATAAAGCCTAACACATCAAGTTGAGGCAGGACCAAGCTCCTCCACCCTGCCTCAAGGCTGAACAAGGCATCCAACCATAGGGAATAAAGTCCAAAAAGCTAGCTCATGCACCAGTGTAGATTCTGGTCCCACTGCCAAGGGCCCCTCAGATAGACCACACTACACAACTGTCTTCCACATGCAGAGTGCCTGGTTCAGTTCCATGCAGGCTCCACAGCTGTCAGTCTAGAGTTCGTGAGCTCCCACGAGCTTGGTTCAGATGTCTCTGTAATTATAAAAAAGGCTAGGGAAGGTGAGTAATATTTCGAATGTCAAAATCACAGAAAAATTTACACAGATACAAAAACAAACAAAACACAAAGAGCGATATATGGCCAAGTCAGAGAAAGGAAGGATACTTTATAGATTAAATCATCGCAAATGTATGAGCTTCTTCAGCGAGAGTTTTCAGAATTATCCTAAAGATACTTGGTCAGCTACTAGGAACTAATGAGCCGATGGACGCCCCAGATGAGCAGGTACAGGGACACAGGAAGGCGACACACAAGCAAAATCATCTGCCAACAAGGACGTGAAATATGTGCATAGAACCTCACAGATTTGGGGAATGAAAAACCACAACAGTGGAAATGAAACATTCACTGGGGTCAAGGGAACTTGGTATTTTTCAAAACTGTAAGCAAAACAAACTTCTTTTCATGAAAGCAAAAATGGAATGTTTGTGAAGAGAACAAGGACGGGAGAAAAAGAGGGGAGACTGTTGAGGTGACAGGGTGTCAGTGGATCAGAACATGGTACAGACACGTGTGAACATGTCACAAAAAATCGTTAGACTGTACACTTACTACCTTCTACTAAAAAGTGGAAGAAAATGATAAGCCAGTTTACAGATATTCTGGTCTCAGTATTTTGTAACTGCAGCAAATGGACTCATACAGATGACGTCTTCAAAGTGGTGAAATATTAATTCCAACTGAAAAGATTGCAGTAAGCAAAATTATTCTGCAAAAACGAAGAAGAAACTGAGAACTTCCCAAATATTCAAAAGGTGAAGGAGTATATTAGCACTGGACCTGCTGCACACGAGACAATCCAGAGGTCTTCAGGTTAAAGAAAAAGGACACTAAGGAGAAAAACGCAGTCATACGTTTCCAGCACACACAACAGCACAGGCTACTTTAATACTTTAATACTGGTACGTAGATATTAAGTGACAAGCACACACAGAAAACAGGTATACTTGTGTGACAATGTGTATATAATACTTAAAAATGTCAAACATAACTGTTCAGGTGGATGCTTCACCCCAGCCCCTGGCATCCATATACCCAAAGAGTCTAGAATTTTCTGGAAGAAGCTCCATCTCAAGCCCCACCCCACCTCACCCCTGGCTCTCTCCAAACCCTGCTGCATCTCAGAAAGCCCGCCAAATGATAACCCCTCCCCCAGAGATGCCCAAGACCACTCCCACAGGGTATTAAACTGCCCCCCAGAAAACAGACATGGGGGTTTTCCAGTCTTCCTTTCCCACTTCCTCTCTGGGGGCTGGAAAATCATCCAGTAGCATTTTATCCATTAAACCTGCGCTTTTTCTAATTGGGCTTGATTTGGTCTGATTTGGATTATTGCATTGGCGGAGAGGCTTATCGGGGTGCAGAAACTTTTCAGTAATATTAATAACAAAGTTTTGGGTGAATAAAACTGCAGCATAATGGGGTGTTTGTGACTGAAATTCAGCCAATACCAGATCAAAATAAAATTCTTTATTTTAAGAAGCTTTATATAGGAATTGACATGATGGCTCAGTGGGGAAAGGCACTTGCCACCAAGCCTGAGTCGAAGAGGGACGCTGGAACTATTTGCACAGCACTGTTCAAGGCTGTAGTGCTCACTGGAGTCAGAAT